GTTAAATGTGAGTGAAAAATGGCTTGAGAATATTCCTTCCACAGACTGATATAAGGAAAATCTAAATAAAAGGTGCCGTGTCCCTTAGGTCCTGGCGGCAGGTATTGCTGATCTTCCACAGGGTAAATCTCAGACAGGGCTTGGGCTCTAGCACAGCCCAGTGACATGCAGGCCTTGGTGTCTCCCTGTGGGACCGTCCAGAGACAGGAGCCCTCTGAGACTTGTTAACATGCAGTGTTTTTTTCTAGGTGAATCCTGCTCCTCTGGATTATTTGACAATGTACCAAATCACAAATGCTGGGAAATACTATTTCAGCATTTGTTTTGTGTCGGGAGAGCAGACTGACAAGATTATTGGTGGCATTTTCTGTGTCAATTTGCACTTGTGCCTATATTGTTCAATTTCACGTCCGTTTGCCTTCAGCAGCAAACACACCCATTAGAACAAGGAAGCCATCTCAAGAGCATTGCTCAGTATATCAGCTGTGGCTATAATTGTAGCATCTACTTTTAAACCAGATGTTTTCTGGTGATTCATGCTGAAAAGTGTAGCCAAACTTGGCAGTTTAACAAATATTGTCAAACACGAGGTTTTGAAAAATGTGTCATATTACATCAATACCACATTGTGGTTACTAGAAGCAAGATGAGTAAAAATATGCTAATTAGTGGCATACGTGAGTTAGTACAGTAAGACTCTAGTCTAGATCCCAGAAACGTCAGAATTTAGGGCACTAAAGCTTTTCCTCCATGAGTCATAACTGTCTTTTATCATTTGAAAACCAGTTTATGAATCATTCATGAATACTCCTGCTCTTATTTGGCTAGATGGAGGTTCACTCCTATGTCAGCTTCTGATGGGCTTTGACAGCTGCACTTGGCTCCTCCTTCCTGCTGGCAGGAAATAACCCTATCTGAAAATTATAAAAGAAAGTCTATTTTACAGTCATGCCCATGCTCATCCAGCTGCTTCCGGGCATGCATGAATGATTAAATGAATTGCACAACACACTGTGTCCCCATGACTAAGAGACTGCCTTTCCTGTCCAGATTCCATCCATGGGTTATGATGTTCCAGAGGCCATAACTGGTCTGGTTGTTCAACTCTCTGACCAGGCAGTCAAACTCTCAGGGAGAAATGCAGTTTACGTAGAACTTGTTTATTGATCGTGAACTGATTATGTACTGTAAAATACTAGCAAAGTATGTGCTGTCTATGACTTCTACGTAGAAGGGATGATACTCAACCTACTATTGCAATGCTCAACACGGAGAAAACAATCTAACACTGAATATTTCTTTATTAATACACAGATCAGTTACAGTAAAAAACAAACTAAGAACATGAGGAAACTTTTAATATCTATTAACAATATATCTGTAAAGTTATTTTACCAAGCACTTCTCAATTACTTATGAAACACTGGATACTTTCCATCCTTGTAATATACAATTTTGAGAGGATTTATGTTTACAAACAAACTGGAGCCTTCACTTAGTATCCTGACATCAGTGAATTATTACTTTAATTAAAATAAATAAGCAATTAACACTTGGTATTTTACATAAATCTATAAAACCAAATATGGATATTTATGCAGCACATGTGTGAACCAGCCCCACCCCACCTTCTCTCATTACATAACATATTTATCTCTATATATTTTCTTTTCCATTTGTTTGCATTTTACAAAACAAATTTTTAAATTTAACAAAGAAATAAGGTTTAGAAACAGCATTGGCCTTGGTATGAAGCCCAGTGACTAGAAGATGTCCTGGAAAGTCCAAATGGTTGGAGTCATCTAAGTGAGTCATGTCCCAATCTTCTGACTGCCCATCTCCAGTAAATGAACCACTTTCCAATTTCTAGCAGCTCTTTTTTAATCACATGAAGGAAAGGAGCCAGCATCTTTTCTGTAGCCCATGACTGGATGTTAATGAATCATGAATGAGGGAAAGGTGCATTTACAAAAACATCTGTCGGAGCACTGGGTGTTGAAGAAAGGTACAGAGGGTGGAAGTATCATGGAAAGAGGAGCATGGAAGATCAAGGGAATGGTACTGGGGAGTCAAACAGAGATAGAGGACCATGGGACAAATTAAGAAACCTAGATCAGGGCATAGGGAGCATGGGAAAAGGGAGTATATGAAGGTGGTGTGGAAGAGCTTAAAAAAACTAGGCAACTGCAGAAACGCTTGGTGAGCTCCTGGAAGTCATTGGAGGATTTGGAATTTACTTTTCTATGCATCAAGCATCAAACCCCTGTGACTCTGAAGTGTTTGCTAGAGCAGAGGTTCTCAAACTGCTCCATGGAGAAAGCTGGCTGGTCACACTCTGCTGTCTCCTCCTCTTCAGTTCCAAATGCACATCATCATCAAGACAAACCCAAAAGGGACGTAACCTCCTTGCAGATCGAGCATCACCTGAATTGATCTCTAGCTAGGTCCTTAAAATGGTCTGTCTGGCTTTTCAGTCTACCTCAGTCATTAGTGAGCTTAGCACACCTTCAAGACTTTTGGCAATAGTATGATTGTTGACTGCATAGCGGCTTTCCTTGGCAAATGCACTTCATAATTCATTGGTCTAGTAATATATCCATACCAAGAAAGTTGGTAAAAATTAAACCAGTGCTAATGGAGATGGTTGCTGGGTTTGGCTATGAATATCCTCATTGCTGATCTTGTCCTACCACTTAATATGGAGCAGCTGACAAAAACAATACAAACTGAAAATGTCAATTTGTTGTTCTTTAGTGTTTCTTAGCACCCATGTTTCACTGCCTTCCAAGAGAATTGGTATAATCGTGGTTCTATATATCCACAGCACTGTAGTAAACCTGATGTTCTGACATCTCCACAGAAGCTGCAGAATATGGTGCAGAAGCTGCTATATGAATATCCACATCTTTTGAACATATCCCAGCCCTGTCTATGATGCTACCCAAGTACTTAACAGCTGCTACCTGTGCGATATCCTCTTTGGACAGGTTACTACTGAACAGGTTGTAATCTAGCATTGGATGCTGCTTGATGGTAATGGTCAGGGACTTAGTTTTGTCCAGATTAATAACCTGACCAATGCATGCTACTTCTTTCCTGACCAGATCAGCCATCAGCTCCAGCAGTCACCCACCTGAGCCAACAAGGCAAGGTCATTAATGCATTTCAGGGCTCAGAGTAAAATGGTGTTCAGTTCATTGCCACCAGCAGCTGCCTCCTCAAAATTATTCATCAACCAATACATGCCAATATTGAACAACAGTGGAGCTGAAACGCAGACTTGAGGAACTCCTGTGCGGCCAGAAACCATGCCATGTACCATTGACTTGAACACTGCTTTCTGTTCCATTATAGAGCTCGTTTATCAAGGACACTATCTTCGGATGGATGCCAAGTTGCCACATTGGATCCAATAAACTTGCTCCATGCAGTGACTCAAAGGCCTGAGGAAAGTCTATGAGTGCTTTGTACGGCTTATTAAATTCACCCTTCTTCTCAAAAAGCTCTCTCAAAGAAAAGATTTGGTTGATAGTGGAATGGCCATGTCTAAAGGTGCCCTAAGCCACACTTTGCCATGAAGTGCAATACTGATTTGAGACATTATCTCAGAAATAAAGGTTTTCCCTAGGACCAACAACAGTGCAATACCTGCCTATTCCTGTTCTTCTGTCCCATACTAAACTTCCTGAGCGTATTTGCCCAGGTGGCATTATCCTTTCTTATTTGTGCATTAATGTTGCTCACTGTTGTGACAATGTCTTTTATCAAGATTTCATTATCAATTGTCAGCAATTGCTGATAATTATTTGCAGCTGTATCTTTGATCTTGGTGTTGGTGGGACCATAAACAGAGATGATGGTATGATGCCTGCAGCCAGTACAGAATCAGACACTGATAAATTGCTCATTAATCATGTGCCAATCCTACAATTCTTCTCTGCCACTGGGTGAGAGTACCACAATCTACACTTGCTCAAGGAATCTAGCAGGGTTGCCTGAGAACAAAAATGTATAGTACTCAACTTTGTTTTCTACACTTCCTGGCCAGTGCAGCTCAGATAAGGCACAGATATTGATGTTCAGGGTTTTCAACTGCCTGATGAGGAGGATAGCTTAAGCAATTTTGGACAATGTTTGGACATGCCAGGCACCAATTTTACATTTACCGCTAACATACAGAATACCAAGATAGCCTTTTCACAAGTTTTCAGTGGTCATTTCTCCCTCAGTTGCAGAAACAAACTCTTGGCCATTTTGACTTCAAGAGCAATTAACTAGATTGTCACAGGTGATTGGCTTAATTAGAAACACTCTCATGAGATAAACCCATTGATCCTGGAGGATATTTCCAGATGCTAAATTGCATTAAAAGCTAAAAATAGATTATATGTTTCCCGAATGTGAGTTTTCCATGAAAGCAATTGATGCAGGTGCTACAGTGATGTAACTATCAGTGGGAGGTAGCTGAGTCTGTGGTGTCCCAAATGGGAGGGGCTGTTACTCCATAACAAGCTCTCAGTTGGGATGTGGTCCATATTGTTAATTTCAGTTTACATGTTTGCCAAATTATTATGTATAAAAGTTAAAATAAGTTCTGTAAATCAAAAGGCCATTTTGTTTTGGTAAAAGGATAAGGCGACCTCCATTTTGGGTCAGGTTCTTGTTCCTCGGAAAAGGCGGGAAAATGGAAAGAGCAGGAATCTGACCTTGCCCAGCAACAGCTCCCTATAAAGACCAGTGAGGGGAGGGGCCAGGGGCCCTGGCTCCGAGATTTTGAGCTGTCAGAGGTTCAGGTGTCTAGCTCGCTCTCATAGTGCAGTACAATCTTGGCACTGGCTATTGGCCTGCAATAGTTACTTACTAGTTAAGTTGGGGTTGTTTGTTTGTTGTTTTGGGAAAGCAAACTTGCATACACGGATCTGGTCTGATTAGTTAGATCAATCGTGCACTCAGGACGATGCAAATCGGGTTAGGGTGGGAGTTAAAATAGGGATATGTACCTATCTATTTCATCTGTTGTCCACAGTCGGTGTTCATCGCTGGCTTCTGTCATCTGGATCCTGCAGCCCCTTTATCGCAGACGTCTGTAAAGGTAGAAGAACAGCTTGTATTATAAGTGCATGTGTGTGCCTGTGTATTATTCCGAATCTCCAAAATCATTAATACATTCCCCTTTCCCTTCCTTCCTCTCCCCTTAGCAAATAAAGTGTTGTTGGTTGTTTTACATTTGTGCGTGTGTTATTCATTTGGAGTCAGCTCTGATAGATGGGCTTAAAAGGGGGACTCAGCGGGAGGTAAATTGTAAGGCTCCCCGAGATCTTCTGATCAGATCGGCCTAGAGAGATAAAAATCCTTACAGATTTGGCGACCACGAAGGGATCCCTAATACATTTGTTTTGGGATTCCTTGTTTTCCATCAGTCAATAGGACTCCCTTCCCCTTATTTCAGTTGTCCCTGTTCATTTTATTTTATCACTGGAGATTCGAGACCCCCTTGGGCTGTGTGAGTTAGTGAGTGCGAGGAGAGTGAGAGTCCCATTCCGCAGCGCACGTGGAATTTGGGAGTGAGTGGAAGTGGCAAGGCAGCTGGTGGCAGTGGCTGTTGAATCTGCTCGGGGTAGGCCACAGTGGGTGGCAGTACGGAGGGGCAGTAAGCAGCTTGGCCGCAGGGAATCGCTGTACTGTTGAGACCCCATTGAGGTGATTCCACCTTGGGATCTTCCCCTCTGAAACAGGGCTGGGAGAGTAGATCTGGCGCAGCGACACCATTTTGAGACTTAAGGTCTCAACTTCTCAGCTGGGTTGAGGCGCCCAGGAGATGGGACGCTGTGTGAGGTACTGCTGATCAGATTAGCTACCCAGGACGCAGCTTCTCTGCAGCGACAAATAGCTAAATAGCGGTTGACTGTTGGAGGTTTGAGTGAGCGTATCCTCAGGAGCATGTGTACTCTCTGGCGGGGAACCGGGAGAGGTCTCTCGCTCCCAAGGAGGGGTGGTGAGGGTGACACCTCATTACACAGTGCGATACTAGCGCAGGGTCCAGTAGGGGGCGCTCAAGGGCAGCACAGCATTGCTGTCGCTTAGTTTGGGTGTGAGTGGGCATTCCCCACTGCGCTAAGCAATCCCAAAGGCCTGAGAGGAGGAGAACCTCTCTCATATAGCCGCAGTAACAACAAAACCTGCTGGGAAGGAACCAAGGTTCCTTTAAGGGGGTTGTTAAACACTTCACCAGAGTTTACCTGATCATTAACTAAGATGTGCACTTGGGTAAACTGTTTTGGGTCGCGGGTAACATCAGAGGGAGACACACCTATTAGGGCGGCAGTAAAAAGACTAGTGAAGGGAAATGATCCCTGGAGGCTAGGAGTGTTCCAGGGGTGGGAAGCCTGGAATACTTTACAACAACTGTTGGTGGGTTTTGTCGATGGACGACCAAAACCATCTCACAAGAAACAGAAACAAGCACTGCTGTTTGGACTCTTAGCGGTGACTGAGGAGTTGTTAGTCACGGTGGCTGCGCAGGACGAACAAATAGCAGATGCTAAAGCTCAGACATCAGCACAGGAAGCTGAAGTAGGTAGGCTGTCCTCCCGAATTGAGACGCTAAACGATCAGGCCTCCGTGGGAGTGACACAAGTAGGCAGATTAACCGGTCAAATTCAAGACCTGGCCAATTGTTTATCTAGAAAAGCACAGGAGGTTACAATCCTTAATACGCAGCTCGAGGAAACTCAGGCTGCTCTGCGTCAGTTAACTAAGACTATGCAGGAAGGCATGAGTGAGGCAGCAAATCATTCGAGTTGCCAGAGACGTGAGGCGCGTCTGAGGGCTCGATTGGCCCGCTCTAAGGGAACTATCAGGGCCCTCCAAGCTGATCCTCTCCCTCAAAGGCTTAGTTCCTCAGAGAATGAGTGTGAAAGGGAGAGCCATGGAAATCCCAGGTGGATGCCCGAGTTTCATCGAGACAAAGATATTACAAAGAGGGAGGCTGTACCATCAGGCCCTATGGCAATGGACACACCACTCCCCTTGGCTCCGATCACCACTACTGTGGTGACTTGAGACGGTCAGCAGGGCCAAGGTGGAGAAACGAGACAACAGAGCAAAGTGTTTTCCCCTGAACAAGCGCGTGCTCTGGGAAAATCACTGGGCCTGTTAACTAGGGAAACAGTTTTGGATTGGATGGCCAGAGCAGCGGCCATCCCTAATCTGGTAGTGGGAGACATAGCCGCTCTAATAAGAGAATGCATTCATCCAGAGGAGTATTTGGGCCTCCCAATAGAGATCCAGGCAGCCAACGTGCAAACTCCAATCCAAATGTACATGGGGCTGTACCAGTTCTTTTATCCCAGAAGTAGTGTAATAGGTCAGTTCTATTCAGAACAACAGAGGGTAGAAGAACGGCCGGAGCACTACTTGGGGAGGAAAAAACTTTTATATCTATTAGTGGGCGGTAATGGTTGGGTTACACATGAATTCAAGGATTCCGTGGTCCAGGGGTTAGCACCAGCCCTTCGGATTGCGGTAGGATCCTTTGATCACTACCCTCTTACCATCCGTGAAATAGAAAATAAACTGAGGGAGGATTATGAGTTGCAGAGGGGTGCATTCTCTAATCCAAAAGGAAAAAGGATAGCAGCTGTTATTAGTGGCAAACAGGAGGGGGGTGGTAGCCCAAAGATGGGAAAGAAAGGGCCAGCTATCCGTCCAACAGAAAGGATATCCGTCCAACAGGGGTTTCCGTAAGGAACAACCCCGATATCAAACACAAAGACAACCTGAAAATGATCGGAAGGCCTTTCATAGGCTGGTGTGGGGACAACTATTGGCGTTCGAGCGCAAGCAGGATATCAATGGCCTTCCCACTCCAGAGCTAACGAGACGGCTCGTAAACCATCAGCAGCGGGCCATGAAACCACAGGGGGATGGGCCGCCCGATCTATTAGGATGCTTGCCCAATTCCCTAGCCACCCCTAATACTGCCCGTATTTACAACGACCACTGAGGTAGACCGGTCACTTCGCTAGTTGTCAAAAGGGGAATTTGGCAGTCTAAAACAAGAAGCTCTGGTGGACACTGGGGCAGCGGTGTCCATTCTTTGCAAAGATGGAAACAACATGGTGGGACGAAATCCTGTGGCCTTTTCACAGACTGTGGAAGGGTATGCAGGAGGGGATTCCACCACCATCCCATTTACTGTACCAATTAGTTGTGCAGTGGGACCTTTCACTGTCACAGCTTCGTTTGGCATCCACCATTTAGGGGGCACTGGCATATTGGGCAATGATCTTTTAAAACAGTTACAAGTGATAACTGACTTGCCCAATTGCCAGTTGCTACCTTCAAAATGTCCTGACCAAGTGGGAACAACTGTTCCTGCTTCACATCGAGTAGCAGCTATAAAAGCCCCAGAGAGGTATAGTGCACCGCCCCAAGAACCTGAAGTAGAAAAGCTTCTACTTAAATACCCAGATGCTTTCGCCAGGCACAAGCTTCACTGTGGTTTGGTAAAAGGGGAGGTCAGTATTCCAGGACCAGGTCCCCGATCATTAAAACAGTATAAGTTCCCAGAGGAAGCCATTCCCAGTGTCAAAAAGATAGTAGTGTCACTGGAAAACCAAGGTGTGTTAAAAGTTGTAAATAGTCCCTGTAACTCCCCAATGTGGCCAGTAAGAAAAGCAGATGGCCATACGTGGAGGCTTACTGTAGATTATCGAGAATTAAACAGGGTAACCCCATGTTTAGCACCAGTGGTAGCCAAATACCAAGAGCTGATGGCAACCATCGATGGAGGTGCTCGCTGGTTCAGTGTCCTGGACTTTGCAAATGCTTTCTTTAGCATACCGGTCAGGGAGGCTGACCAACATAAATTCTCCTTTACCTTTGAAGGGAAGAAACTAACATTCACACGTATTCCCCAAGGGTTTCAGAACAGCCCCACTATCTGTCACCAGCGGGTGCATGCTATGTGTCAGGCATTGGAGTGTTGTAGGAGCGTCTTAAGTTACGCCGATGATATTCTAATAGCCACAGAGACTTGGGAACAAAATCTATCTGCCCTTGAAGAAGTTATAAAGGCGATTCAAAACACCAGATTTAAAGTGAACCCTGAAAAAGCACAACTGGTCCAACAAACGGTGTCGTATTTGGGTATTATCTTGGGTCAAGAAGGGAAGTCCCCGAATAAGAACAGAGTAGAGCTTATTACCAAACTGCCAGTCCCTAGAGATGTTTCCGCTCTCCGGTTGTTTCTGGGATTAACTGGGTTTTCTCGTGAATTCATCGAGAACTATGCGGGAATTGCTAAGCCCTTAAATCAGCTCCTTAAAAAGGGTGCCTCTTGGTGGTGGGAAACAGAAGAACAAAATGCTTTTAATGATCTTAAAAAGGCTCTAGCGGCTGCACCAGCGCTAGCCTATCCAAAACAAGGCCTGCCGTTTTACTTGCACCTGGCAACTACTCCGGCAAGCATTGGAGCTGTTTTGCTGCAAAAACAAGCTGGCCAGTTGAGACTAGTGGCCTATGGTTCCAAAACTCTCAGTGAGGTGGAAGCGAGGTTTTCAGCTTGTGAACGCGAGGTATTCACCCTGGTATGGTCCCTAACACATTGGGAGTATCTAACTGGCACAGCTCCCATTGTGGTGAGGACATGCCAAACTCCAGTAAAATATGTCATCTCTGGAAGAATTAATGAGGACAGGGTATCCTCACCCCGGCTGGCGGGATGGACTCTAAGTCTGATCAGTCGGGATATACGTACTGAGAAGGTCCCCCATATGGGAATTCTTCCCTATGCTCTGATTACCGAAGGAGATGAGCATGAATGTCCGTTGCCAGATCCTGATTTAGACTTACTATCTCCATTCTTATTAGCAACATCCTGGGAAGAAGTACAAGGAGAAGGGTTAACTCTCTGGGCAGTTGATGGGAGTGCTTATTACCATGAAGGGCATCCTGTTGCAGGGTATGCTGCAATCAAGGAGGGGACACAGCAAGTGTTGCAGGGTACAGTTAGGCCGCCGTCAGCACAAGCTGCAGAATTAATTGCGGTACTGGCAGTATTGTCTGAGGTAGCACATGAGGA